ATTTTCATAAACGAGGAAGAAGGGTTCTAGTGTAATTTATGTTTCAATTCATTTCGGAGATGCATCTCCAATATATTTTAATGTTAATTTAAATTTTGGTGCATTCAGAGACGTATCTATAAAATCTATAAACATTTAAGTATTTTTATATAGTGCCTAAGTAACATATGAGATATATGATATTTGGTTTATCAATATCGATAGATAAATGCCTTTGGGTTAGCTTTTCTTCTGAAAGAAAAAAAAAAGAATACAAGTGTATTTTGTGTTCAGATTTATATAGACATGTCTAATATTAGTATATTTGATATTTAATTTTTCTAAAAAAAAACACTTGATATCTTTTTCGTTACTATTAATTAATACCTTAATACAGAAAGAATATAGTAATTAAAGAAGCAACAAAAATTTAGTTCAACAAAAATGAAAAATGAAAAATTGAATTAGCTTCGCATATTTAACGTTTGGCATTGTGTCAAACGGAATTATGTGTAGAAGAAACATTACAAAAACATTTAATTGAAGATATGAATGAATGCATGTCGTGTATAGTTTTTGGCACCTTATGCTAAAGTGCCATCGTGACTTTGGAGATGGAGGGAAATAGAAACATTTAGACTTGGTTACTATCACTCAATGTTGAGGAGTGGACAACATCGTCTTCTGTCGACAGATTGTCTACTTGTGTCACCACTTGTTATTGTTCGTGGCTTTTCGAGGAACTAAGAAGAGCCTCATGATATGCATTTTGTTTATACTCGTTGCGGCCTTAGGAAGCTATCAACGGACAACTCTATTAAATTTTTATAAAACTCAGTTTTCACCAATTAATTCACTTTGTTTGCCTCAACTCCTGTAAAATATTATTCGAAAATCATCGCTTTGTAATTCACTCAACCCTAGACAGTTATAATTATTTACTTAAACATCAGCAATCACTAGTTTTACGAGGATTACATTACTTGACAGCTATCAAATCTCTTTTACAAAGTTAGTTAAAGTTGTTGAAAGGTAGTTAGAAAAGTTACTTAGAGTATAGTTACTCTATGACTTGTATATATAGACTCTAATCATTCTCATACTTTACGATAAATTAATTCAATCAATGCAAAAAGATTTTGTAGTAACTTTCTTTTCAATGCTATTTAGTTCATTCAATACACTATCATATGTCTAATAAGATTTTCAGTTTTGGATGAAGATCAAAGCTTTATGGAAACTCCATTTTTTATGAGAATAAAATTTTATTAAACTGTAGATGAAAGAGGAACGATTTCAGAGGGATTCACACTAGGATAGTCTCCAATCCAAGTCTTAAAACCATACATTTTACTAAGCCCTACCAAATTGTGGGCATCAACATTAAATTGCCTAAGTATAAATATAACAGAAATAACTTTAAAAGACTTTGACAATTCTCTACAATCATTAACAACTGGTTCAATAGAGGCATGAGCAATGGACAAATTGATACAGTCCACCACAACCTAGGCGTACGATTGAAACACTGCACTCTCCAGCTTCAGAGTTTGCGCAATCTCAATACTCCATCTTAAAGCAAGCACCTCAACCATGTCATGTTCCACCACGATATTTTTCCTCATGCTAGCTGCCAGAATGATGTTTTTTTCTTGATCCTTTACAATGCAACCAAAGGACACAAAGTCCGCTTCAGAGATTCCAGCATCCACCTGCACTAAATAAATTTCTTTTAAGTTTGATTCCAAAAGAGGATGGGAGGTGAGGTTTTTCTTTTTACCACAATCTGGATTTCTTTTGTTGAATTCCACCACAGTCTCTAAAGCATCTTCAGCCACTATGATGGGATCCACATTCTTTTGCTAGTAAAGTTGCACATTATGGGCCGAAAAAATCTTGTGGAGCAAGGAACACAACACCTGGATGCTTAACGCATCCCTGTAGTTGAGAACCTTCATCAACCAATCATTAAGACCCCCACCATCAGGGATATGATAGCTAAGAGTAGAGGAGAAGAAAGATCATTTGCAAAGTCACAATGCAGGAACAAGTGATGGGCCGTCTCAGCAGGGGGATGACAAAGGTAACAAGTGGTATCAAGTTTTATACCTTTCTTCTGGAGATTACATTTCGTGGGGAGGATGTTCTTGGCAAGTCTCCAAAGGAAGTTCCTAGTTCTATGATGAAGAGGGGAACTCAAGATTTTCTTCCATAGATTGTGGTAAGGGGTCCCCGAAGGGCCAGGATGCTTCGAGTCTCTATCATGAACACATATATGGTAAGCAGATCGAAATGAGTACTCCCCGCCTCTTTCAAAATGCCATATCTACTTGTACAATATGTTTCTTCTAGGTAAAGGAATGTTGACAATTTTTTTTGCTTCCTCCACATCAAAGATGTTGAAAATAAGATTTGTCTTCCATTTTCCCAAATCATTATCAATGAGTTCGTTGACCTTGGCATCACTTTCCAGACTTCTCACTTGTCCCGGGATTTAAAACCTGCATTACTGGGCATCCAACAATCCCTCCCCACAAACACTTTTTCACCGTTGCCAATCCTTCATCGAACACCTCTGTGAATGAGGTCCTTCGCGCTCAAGATGCTTCTCCAAGCGTAGCTTGGAGCAAAACCAACTGAACTATCATCAATGGATTGCTTAGGGTAATATCTACTTTTCTAGACCTTCCCCATCAGAGTATATTCCCTTGTCAAAAGGTGCTAATAGTATTTACCAACCAGATTGGTGTTAAAATCACTGATTCCACGAAAACCAAAACCCCTTACACCTTTTGCACGAGCCCTTTTCTACCAACTCATCCAATGAACTTTCCTTTCCCCATTTGTCAAACCCCACCAGAATTTAGCCAACATGCTTTCGATTTCCTGATAGACAACCTCTGGAAGTTTATAACAACTCATGATATAGCTCAGGATTTCTTGGGCGACAACTTTAATCAGAACCCTTTTTCCAACTCTTGACAAAAATCTTTCCTTCCAGTAATTCATCTTCTTCTAGACCCTTTCAATGACCAGCCCAAATATTTTCTTCTACGATCTTCAAAACACAATTGGTAGTTCAAGATACTTAGAATGTATTTGCATAATCTTAACTCCCATCCTTAAACAGATCATATCTTTTTCCTTCTCACGAACATTTTGACTGAAAGAAGATTCCGACTTATCGAGGTTTACCATTTGACCAGAAGAGAGTTGATACTTTTGGAGAATATCCATAATACACTCAGCCTCAAAAGAATTTTCCTTATAAAGCAATAAGTTATCGTCATCAAAAAACATGTGAGAAGTCATTGGAGCCTTCCTAGAAATTTGTATTCCATGGATTTTGTTCTCTTGGACTCCTTTCTTCAGAAGACATAAAACCACATCAACACACAATATGAATAAATAAGGTGAGAAAGGATCCCCTTGACGGAACCCCCTCTCAGGTGTGAAACTCATACTAGGTTGGCGATTAACCAAAACCTTGTAAGAAATATTTGAGATACATTTGTGAATGAGGTCAACCATAGACGCAGGGAAACCCATAAAAGTAAGAACAACGAGAACAAAAAGACACTCCAAACAATCATACGCTTTTGACATGTCAAGTTTGAGTTCCATGACTCCCCTATTTCCTTTTTTCTTCTTCTTCTTCATCCAATGGAAACATTCCATGGCCACCAAAGCATTATCTGTAATGAGACGACCTTTGACAAACGCACTCTGCTCTTCATCAATGATATCAGGGAGGAAATACTTTACCCTATTGGAAATTGTCTTAATGACCACCTTTATCATTACGTTGCATATACTAATAGGACAAAAACCCTTGGGGCTTGAAGGGTTTTTACACTTGGGAATTAGGGCTATATGGGTGTTGCTGATCAAGCTTGGGTCTTTGTTATTATTAAGCATGCCCAAATCCATTCTACTAACCTAAGACCCTATAATGTTCCAGTACTTCTGATAGAAAAGGGCTGGAATCCCATCAGGGTCTGGGGCTTTCATGGGATTCATTTGGAAAATGGCTTATTTAACCTCTTGATAAATGAAACTTTCTTTGCACCAAGAGATATGCCCAGACTTAAGCTTTCATTGCACCACTAAATAAACCTTGGGAATATTGGAAGGAAGAGAAGTTGAGAAAAGTTCAGTAAAATAGTTCACCAACACTCTTTCGCAATGAACATAACCTCTCCAACAGTTCCCATTTTCATCCTTTAGCTTCTGAATTTTGTTGGTTTTCCTTCTTCGCTCTTCTTTTTCATGGAAGAATTTAATGTTATTTTCACCATGCTTAAGGCATAAAGCCCTACCCCGTTGTCTCTAAATGACCTCCTCCATTTGAAGAAGATTATTCCTTTGACCCTCAATAACTTTGTTGGTTTTGGTCGACTCTTCAGTACTATCCCATCTTTCATCCTCCTTGAACATATCATCAATTCTCTTTAGCTCCTTGTTAATAGCCCATATTCTGTATTCTTGAAAAACATTATCCAAACCTTTTAAAGATGAAAGTTTTTCAAAATCCCTCGAGCCTGAACTGTTCAAAATTTGGTGCACAACTTCCTCACATCTAGGGTCTCTGCTCCACACCTCTTCAAACCTGAACAAATGTTGTCTCCTTCTTCCTCTACCACCTGAAGCATCTTCCAACATAATACTTATGGTAATGTGGTCTGACCCAAACTTAGATAGGTAACTCACCCTAATGATGGGGAAACTATTGATAAAATTATTAGTTCCCAGACCCTTGTCCATACGAGATTGGATATTATCACTTCCATGTCAGCCATTCGTCCAAGTAAAAGGATCCCCTCCCATTTTCTCATGATCGAACACCACATCATTTAAGTCCTTAAAGCAGATAATCCTATCTCTACCTCTCCTGGTCAACTCATGGATCAAGCCCCAAATTTTCCTCTTGTTCTATTCTTCCGAGAAGCCGTAGATGCCACTAAAAAACCAATACTGATTGTCACACTTATAAATGTGATTAAGAGAATAATATAGATTGGTTAACTAAACTTTTTCCTTCCACAACAAGGTAAGTCCACCAGATCTCTCCCGACCATTGCCACTGCAATACACACCATGACAACACTCCATATCACTTTTGAATTTGATGGTCCGACTCTCATTTCTTTGAGCCTAGATTCCATAATGAACACCAAGTCGGGATTTCCAACATGTATGAGCCTCAACAAGGCTCGAACTGCCTGGGGACTCCCCAACCCCCTATAGTACCAACTGAGGATTTTCATTGATGTTGGTGGTGTTGGTTTTCCAACACCACCTTTGGTCCAGGTACCTGAATATCCTTTAGCTCAGTTTGAATTTTTAGCTTATTTTCACCACTTCTACAGCCTTCCACAGATCCTACAACAATCATCATGTTAACAAGGTGCCTTTTCCCAATCTCCTTCTCCACATTCTTAGCCTGGTTGGAACTAGTCTTTCTATTAGTCTGACGTCTTGTCCACTTCTTCCTCTTTATAGTTTAAACCTTTTAACTCTCCTCTTTGCCTTTCTGCATCTTCGAAATTTCCACCACCCTAAGAGATTCTACAACAACTTCAATCTCGAGTAAATTATCTTCCTGTCGTGTCTCATTTCTTTTTGTGGCCTCTTCTCTCTTACTTCCACTTTATTTCTCTCGAAGTTGTTCCACCTATCCACCCCCTTTTTTCTTTGCCTTTGTTGTCACACCTACTTTTCATCGAGGAAATGTTGAAAAAACTTTTGCAACACGAGCTAGAGTTTGAGTCCTTCTTCTTCTTCTGTTCTTCAGCGAACCTTGGCAAAAAAGAAGATCTCAGCCAAATACCATACAAAAGTTCTTGTTCTTATAGATTTGCAAAGCCTTTTTCACTGAGTTCTCCAACCACTTTACAATCCTTCAACTGATGTCCAACTCTCCCATAGACAAAACAAAAGGTCGGAAGTCTCTCATATTTGAAATACACTCGAAGATTTTTATCCTTGAACCTCACCAATGTTACCCTTTTAAAGGTTGTTTGAGATCAATTTTCACCTTTACTCGCAAAAATATTTCGTTCCTATGAGCTTTCTTTTGGCCCATCTCCTCAAAGTATCAAAGAATTCCACCCAACTTCCTCGCCATTGCCTCAGATCTGTGCATGAGTGGCAGTTCATAAATTTGAACCCAAAAAGTTCGAAAGTTCAGGTTCATCTCCAAAGGTTGTTCTCCGTCTGATACATGAGCTATAACCAACAAGTTCTTGTCAAAGCTCCAAGGTTCGTTTCGCAACATGCTCTCCAAGTTCTTCGAAGAGAAACAAAACAAGAAGAGGTTATTGTTCAACTCTTGTGTCTCAACTGGATTTTAGAGCTTCCAGGAACCCATCATTGTGTTTTTAAAATCTCTTGAATTGAAACTATTTTCTGTCCATAATTTCCCAGCAAGAGTAAGTTGGAAAATCTCTTCGCCATAAACCTCTTCGACTTATGCTGTAACCCTTTCTTCTTCTTCTTCTTCTTCTTCTTCTTCTTCTTCTTCTTTCAATAATGGAATGTTTTTCCATTTATACATTGACAAATAAGAACTCAAGGAAATCAAGCCAGAAAACAGAAGAAAACAAAAGGGGAAATGTTAACACACTCCTAACTAATGGAAGAAAAGAGAAACTTCCTAGAAACAAGGATGGAAATACAAGACTGGCTAGGGAAAGAACGGAGGCGGCAGCCACCAGGAACCCTTAAAACGAAGAGGGAAATAAGCCCTAGAAACAAAGGGAAAAAGGAAAGACACGTTAAGTTTCTAGAAAGAAGCGAGATGTTCTCTTCATAGACAATTATAATCATTTACTTAAACAACAACAATCACAAGTTCTATGAGGATTACATTACCTTGATAATTATCAAACCTCTTTTAGAAAGATAGTTAAAGTTGTTGAAAAGTAGTTAGAAAATTTAGTTAGAGTATAATTACTATATGACGTATATATAGACTATAATCATTCTCATACTTTACAATAAACTAATTCAATCAATACAAAAAGATTTGTAGTAACTTTCGTTTCAATGCTACTTAGTTCATTCAATACACTATCATAGGTTTAATAAGATCTTCAGTTTTGAATGAAGATCAAAGCTTCATAGAAGCTCTATTTTTTTTATGAGAAGAAAATTTTATTAAACTTTAGATGAAAGAGGAACGATGTAGAGGGATCCACACTAGGGTAGTATCCAATTCAAATCTTAAAACCATACATTTTACTAAGCCCTACCAAATTGTGGGCATCATCATTAAATTGCCTAGGTATAAACATAATAAAAATAACTTTAAAATACTTTAACAACTCTCTACAATAAGTAACAACTAGTTCAATATAGGCATGAACAATGGACAAATTGATACAGTTCACCACAAACTGGGTGTACGATTGAAACACTACACTCTCTAGCTTTAGAGTTTGTGCAATCTCAATACTCCATATTAAAGCAAGCACTTCAGCCGTGACAGGTTCCACCACGATATTTTCCCTCATGCTAGTGCCAAAATGATGTTCTTCTCTTGATCCTTTACAATGCAACCAAAGGACACAAAGTCCACTTCAGAGATTCATAAAATAAACTACCAAAAAAACATTAAATTGTTGGAGTGCCTCCTAAAAACACTTAAATTTGAGTCTTTCAGCCAGACGTAAAATGAAAATTAACGTTCATCAAGATCTATGGTGATATTCATCCTAGATAGAGGATCACCAAAGTAAGTTTTCACTCTTTGGAGATTAAATTTAAAATCTTGCTCCATTTTCATATATAAGAGGTTCATTTCCCCATAAGGAAAAACCTTTATGAGCTTAATGAGTATGACACATAGACTTCAGTATTCCAAGAAAGAATTTAAGCCTTAAGCTAAATAGGAGGACATCTCTCTCTTTCCACTAACTCTCTTTTCTAACATTTCTTGTCATTTCATTTCTTAGTATTGGCCTTGTAAATTTCAACATTCCCATAGGAGAACATTTTATATTCTTCTAGCTATAGTCAGCCATGTGCAGGAACAAGCTCTACAACACAGACCCCAAAATTTAAAAGGTACACTTTTTTTCCATTAATACTAATAAAAATAAAAAACTATAATGAATTCAAATAAAAAAATGTTATGATAAAAACTCAATACATAAAAAAATGAGATTGATTAAAAGTCAAAATAATTATAATTAAATATATTTTTAATTACTATATAATTATATTTTTTATGTGTCGTTTTTAATTATTATAATTGCATTTTGAAATAAATTTGAGCCTATTTTTTAAATTAGAACGAGATCTCCGAGTTGATTGGGTCGACCCTGCCTCCAGTTTATTGAGTTACAACGACTTAGCATTTCTAACTATTTGTAATTAAAGTAGAGTTTCTTAGTGTCCTAAAATGCTCTATGATGTAAAGAGACTTTCCAAGTAATAATAGGAAGTCATATAAGCCCATAAAGCATCATCAATGTGCTTTGATCAATCATTAGATAATTCGGCCTGAGCAATACATCATGGAAGGTAGGTTGTGGAAGATTTAGATTTTACACCATATTTTACTATTAAATCCTCAAAAAAATTTATTACAGAGATGAGTTCCCTCATCACTAATAATTTATTTTAGTGTGCCAAACCTTGTGAAAATATTTTAATTATAAACTTTGTTATCACTTTAACATCATTTGTTGGTAATGCCACAACCTTTATCCACTTCAGAACATAATCAACAACTACAACAATGTATAGATTGCTAAAATATTGAGAAAACGACCCTATAAAATCAATACCCCACACATTAAACAATTTGATTTTGAAAATACTTGTGAATGATATATCTTGTTTCTTGGGCATCTATAACACATTTTAACAAATTCACGAACATCTTTATATAATGGGGACCAATAATAACCATATTGTAATATTTTTTCTCCTATTTTAGTTACAACAAAATGTCCTCCATAAAATGGTGCAGAGAAAGATGACTAAATCTCACGCGTTTGTTGCCCAACAATAAAGTTCTTAGCTGTTGGCCATCAAATTTCTTGTACAACATCTTCTCATCCTAGAAGTAACTCTTTGAGAGATGGGGAAATATTTTTGTGTGTGTTGAAAGTTGAAATCTAGAGGCACATATCCATTAACTAAGTAGTTCACAATATCTGCATATCATGAGGTCATGATAGTTGACATTAACAATAATTGATCATTATAAAATTATCCACTAATGCCCAAAATATCATGCATCTAGACTTGATCTATGAGACATGGAAAATGGCTTGCCGCTTGATTCTTCACACATTCCTTTTATCTAAATCAAACTCTTGAAACTGGAGTACCCATATCATTAATCATGGATTGACATATTTCTTGGCTATTAGGTATATAATTGCATAATTACCAATATATACCACCACTTTGGTGCCCATGAAGTAAGATCAGAATTTGATAAAATAAAACACAACACATAATAGCTCATTTTCAGTAGTGGTATAATTAATTTGGGCCTCAACAACACCTTAATTGCATAGTAAATGGAATGAAACACCTTTTTATACCTTTGGCCTAAAACAACTTCTATAGAAACGTCACTAGCATCACACATCAACTCAAAAGGTTTGGAACAGTCTGGTGCAATGATGACGGGGGCAGAAATCAAGGTCATTTTGAGGGTTAAGACAACCTTGAGACATTCATCAGTGAAATGACACGTTGTGTCATGCTACAACAATTAGCATATAGGCTTTGTGAGTTTTGAAAAATATTCAACAAACCTCTTATAGAATCCATCATGACAAAAAAAAAGTTTAATCCCCATAAAATTTGTTAGAGGTGGTAGTTTTTCAATAACTTCAATCTTACTTTGATCATCTTCCAACCCATCTTTGGAAGTACAATACCCAAGAACAATTCATTCCTTCACCATAAAGTGATATTTTTCCCAATTCAAGACCAAATTACTTTACTCACACCTTATGGTCACTAATTCCATATTGTCCAAGCATTTCTTTAAGTGATTCACCAAAAATAGATAAGTCATCCATAAAGACTTCCGTTAGTAACTTAATGCTGTAAGAAAAGAGTGTCATTATTACTTTGAAATGTAGAAGGAGCATTACACAATCCATATGAAATTCTTTTGAAGGAAAAAGTTCCATAAGGACATGTGAATGTTGACTTTTCTTGGTCATCAAGAGCTATGTAAATTTGGTTATATCCAAAATAACCCTCAAGGAAACAATATCATTTATTACCATTCAAATTA